TGGAACTATACAGAGCGAGTCTGGGGAACATACCTCCCAGATTAACTAAACTGGCAACAGGGTAATCCAACATACTCCCTAAATGTCTGCCTAAATTAAGTCTAAAATGCTCCTCAAGAGCCCTGAGCAGATTTCAGGAAAGCTCCAGGAGATAGCTCAGGAACATTGGCAAGCAAAGCCATAAGGTGTTTGGGTTATAAGACATCCTTTGTTTATTTGCCTAATGTCTTAAAGGATCACTGGCTACGGAATCAGGGTGCTACAGTTATGGACCTGGATCCACCAGTCACTAGATTCAATTATGAGATTCTTTCACCACTTACTAGATTAACCAGTCACCTTGCCCGATTTGTTCAAATTATCTGGGCTTCAATTTCCTCATCTATAAAAGGAAAGCAGTCCTTCCTGGGCTGCTTTCTCCATCCATTGCTTTGAGGAGCCAGTTGGTAGCTGTCAATGCATTTGTTAAGCTGATGTGATGAATTTATGGACATGCAGAGAGCAGCCATACATAGTGAGAGTAGCTGTCCTTTTACAGAGTAGCTGTCCTTCCACAGAAATTTGCCCAACCCCTGCTGCACTCCCCTAGTTTTGCCTAAGAGGTTTGTGCTATTTCTGCTGAGGTAGAAAATTCATGGAAACCAAAGCCTCTTGGCTTCTTTTTTTTAGATCTGCCTTCCCAGCTCTCTATCCTCCATCAGAAAGACCCCCTTTCTAATGCCAGGTAATGGGTAATGGGGAGGGGCAATTGAGACTTGAATATCCCAGGCCTTCACTATTTCCTCTGCCTGCCTACTCTACGCACCCCCCTAAGTTGCCACAGACAAGTTTTGCCAACTGATTCACCCTGCATTACTCAAATGGTGGTCTGTTTTAGACTCCTATAGCAGTCTCTTCCCTGTTTTTCTAGTATTTACTTGCTAGCTAATCCCAAAACTGGAGCCACATATTCTGGGATTTTTTCAATGGGCCTCAGCTAGGGCATGCTTCCTGTTCTCTGGGATACTATGGCTCTGCAGATGATGACCATTTATTTGCCATTATGTAAAGGTCCTTCAGCCCAGATGTTACAAGGAGGGAGGTTATTTATCACAGACCCTCAGTAGTATCTCCCACATCTTCATCCATGATTTCTACCTGCCTAAATCCTATTCATGTTTTAGTCTTCAGTTCAAAGATTATTTTCTTCTTCCCAAATGTTTTCTGATTCCCTTTGGCTGGATGTGATCTTTTCCATTCCTTAAACCTCCAGGGCAACCCATCTTTCATTGCACTTACCATACCCTGACAATACCCTAACACTTACACCTTTGAGTACTTATCTTATTCTTCTACTAAATGTCACATTCCTGGAGGCAGAGAACTTGCTTATTGAGCTCAAATAAGTAACTTTTGGTATCCTTCACATTAAAGTGTAGACGGAACTTAGCACACACATTTTTGGCAAATAGAGTTGAAAGAAAACAAATTGAGGACCTGCAGCCACATGTTGGTGTCCTAAATAACAATAGTCGTAACAACATAGTTGCCCACAAGAAGAAATAGAAAAATGAAGAATTTATGACTCTCAGCCCCATGGGTCTCTATTATTATGAATGTTTTGTCTTCACTTCGTAAGGTCCCTCCATCATATTGACGTGATGACCTCCAAGATGGGACAGTCCAAATAGAAGCTAGGTCTCAATCCACCCATACTCAGAGGTAAATCATCTTTATAGAACTCCATACCACATAGCAGAGGATGAAAATATTAACCAGGGCCAGTGACCTTTCTGTTTAGGTTATGACTGGAGCTATCAGTGAGCCACATCCTCTCTAAGAGACAGTCCATGCACCCAAGATAAGGTTTCAAGATGCCTTTGAGTCAGGAAAGTTGTTTGGCTAAGTGTCTGTGTCTTTAGTCATGTACTCTCTGGGTTGGTGGGTTCTTTTCTCTCGTCTCAGAATAGTTCCCAAAGGAAAATTGATATCAGAAAATGTTCATGTTATCTCTCCACCCTTGGGCAAGTCACTTCCCCTCTCTTGACCTCTGTTTCCTATAGAAGGAGACAGATTAAAATAGCTCATAAAGGTCTTGCCCAGCTCTGATATTTCAGGACTCTATTCTGAGCTGCAGGCTGAATTCCCAGGGCTCCAGGCTACTGGCCTTCTCTTCTCTGCTTCTGAAAGGATGTGTGGCTCAGATTTTTTCAATGGGCCTCAGCTAGGGTATGCTTCCTGTTCTCTGGGATACTATGGCTCTGCAGATGATGACCATTTATTTGCCATTATGTAAAGGTCCTTCAGCCCAGATGTTACAAGGAGGGAGGTTATTTATCACAGACCCTCAGTAGTATCTCCCTAATTCAAATGACCAGTGTGTTCCCTTGAAAATGTCCATGTCCCAGTCACTGTAGAACCCAAGAGGCTTTGGGATGCCAAGTTACAGAAAGAAGACTGTATAGGTGGAACTGTTAATGGCTAAGGCATGACTATTCATTATTAGCAAGTTCAAGTTTATCAGCAGGCAGTAATCTGTGTGTTAAAACTCTTGCTTACCATCTTCTGGTTGGTTTATATAATACATGACGGTGATGATTTCTTAGAACTATGTTAGACTATGATAACTACCATGTCAGAATTGGAAAGAAATCTAGAGCTCAACTAGTTCAAACCCCTGTTTCTACAGGTATACAACTGAGAGCTAGAAAGGAGATGAACCAAAATGCAGCATATGGTAGAGTCAGGAACAGGACCCAAAACCTCCGACTGCCAGGTTCCTATATATCATATTACTCCAAAGCAGAGGTCACCAGGATGGCGTACTCTAGTTCATGCAGTTACTCACAGAAGAATCCATTTCCAAGGTCCTCATTCCAAATCTACTTAGCCTTTTTTTTTTTTTATTAAGTTCTAGCAAGAGAAGTTTAACTGGTTTCTAATTCACAACATATTAAAAATAAGCAGACGGGAAAGTGTGGTTAATAGGCTGATAAAAAGACAGGAAATAAAACACTACGTAATGAAGACTTCAAGAATTTCAAGGCTTTATAGTCTGGCAATGTTTAACGCAGGTCAAGCAACATTACACAACTCTATATTCCTAAGATTATCACTTTCATGTAGTATCACAATGGTTGACATTCATAACAATGTCCTTGAATCACCAAGAAAGGGTTAGCATGTTTCACTTGAGAAAGTAAGTATTTCTTTAAAGTACTTTTTTTTAAAAAAAAAAAAAGTTACACCAAAAAAGAAAGTGTTTACTTATAGTTAGGTAAACCTTTGGCTACCTGGAAAACTGAGTCAGACAAAATAACACAACAGCTGGGAGGTTCAAGGAAGTGGCATTTCAGCTGTGTGCAGATAGGCACACTCTACAGTAATAAGACTGGTGTGAGTTCAGCTGGTATCTGCAGAGAAGAGGAATAAATAGCAAAGCCATGATCTCATCTTCTGTTTACACTTCAATTCCCAAAGTTAGTGATTAATTGTACTTGTGTTTTGTTGCCAGGGCAAATTGTTTTTCTTTAAACTCCCACTTATTTTAAATAAATAAACCATTAGTTTCAAAACAGAAGTGTCAAATGTCAAGATATTTCTGACATGCTAAGCTAATGAACAAAACAATGAATTCATTAGAAGCTACTAGAGATAGGCAGCCTTTGAGAATGTTTTTTTTAATGACTTTGAAAGGCAGTAAGAATCATTCTTGGTAAGAGATTTTTTTCATGCATCTTGGCTAAAATATCAGTCCAGAGATTGCAAACACAAGTAAAACTTAAGAATTGGGTTAGGTATAAGATAATAGAGTAGATATGTCAAGAATTCATACTTCAATAAATATACCAACTAGCTATTATATGAAGCTTCCAAAACTCCTGTATCACACGAAATCAGCTTTAGGCCACCAGCTTAGCATCTCTGCTTAGATCTCTGAATTTGCACAGGGCCTCTGATTCTTCCAAAGAATGGAATTCTTTTAGCAAACAGGCATTTTTTTTTTCTTTTTTGCATCCAAGTCTTAAACATGTACACACAGAGATACACACTCAAACTATTTTTGGATGATTCTAATAAATAGTTACTATATTAAGATTGCCTATTAAACATTAGTTTTCATTACATGACTTTCCTGCTTAAAACTTTTCAGTGTCTTCCACTTACAGAAGTAATGGCATTCAAGGTCAACCATAATTTACTTTCCATGTATCCTTCCAAGTACATCTCCTCCTGCAATCCCCACAGACTCCCTGGCTACTCACTGGTCATGGAATGAGGCTTGTACTTTCAGTTCTTATAAACAAATGTTTATTGGATAACCACTATGTGCCAGGTCCTGTTCCATGCACTGAAGACACATCTATAAAAAAAAAAAATAAAGTCCTTCTCTCCTGTAGCTTATGTCCTAATGGGGACTGCTCGCCCGCTTTGAGTGTTTATGCAGTGCTTCTGCTTGTATGAACACACTTGTCACACTGTTTAATACCTGCCTGTGTTGGTGTTCCTCAATCTCAACACTGCCGTCCTGTGCACAACACTATGACCTGCTCATCTCTCATCGCCTCCATCTCATGATTTGCTCAGCAGTAGCACGTACTGGATACTCAATGAATGACTTGTATATACAGTTTCCATTCTTTGGAAATGTGGTAAGTTCCTGTTTTACATAGAATCTGTCTGCAAGGTTATCTAACTTTTTAAAACTTTCATATTGAGTTATTTTTCATATATAAGTCACTCGGTTATTGACAGGAACAACAAATGTCAAGTTACATCTAATGGAACAAAATAAGATGAATGAAACTGATCAGATGTCCACATTGACTTAACCTGTAATGCTTGTTTTCTCAAGTTTCAGAATCTCTAATCTCCTTTCTTTGGGGTTCTCAGGCTGAGTAGCCTACCCTTGGGTGGCCCCTTGCTTTTCTTTCTGAAGATCAGGAAAGAAGCTTAACTGATGAGAAACTGATCCAACTGAGAAACTGCTCATCTTGTTCCCTTTCTCTTTGATTTCAAAGGTAGAAACTGAAGACCAGGTGTTGGCGACCTTCTGTGGCAGGGAGACCACAGACACAGAGCAGACTCCTGGCAAGGGGGTGGTCCTCTCCCCGGGTTCCTTCATGTCCATCACTTTCCGGTCAGATTTCTCCAATGAGGAGCGATTCACAGGCTTTGATGCCCACTACATGGCTGTGGGTAAGTTGGAGAACTGGTTCACCCTCAGCTCTCTCTCTCGCTCTCTCGCTCTCTCTCTCTCTCTCTCTCTCTCCCTCTCTCTCTGAAGATGAAAACTGCCATGTGCCCTCTCCTTTACATTGAAAATCTGTATATGCACCACATAGATTCTACCATCAATGTCTCACTGCATTTGCTCTATCACATATCCATCTATCCTCTATCCATCCAGCAACTCATCTTTTACAAAGTGTTTTAAAGTAAATTGCAGACATCAGTACACTTCTTTCTAAATAATTCAGCATGCATATTATTTTGCTAGAGTTCAATATTTGTTCTCAGTATTTTTTCTTTTAGTATAAAACTGACATACAATGAAATACACAAAACTCATGTATACATTTGTTGAATTTTGAAAAATCTATATTTGTGTGTAACCCAAATCTCTAAAAGACACTGAACTTTACCACCAGCCCAGAGGGTTCCTTTTTGCCCCTGCCCAGTCAGTCTCTGTTCCCACTTCCCTCAGAGGAAACAACTGTTCTGATTTTTTTCTCCTACAGATTAGTTCTTACCTCTTCTAAAACTTCATTTAAACAAACACACACAGAATATATTTCAGGGATGAGGATTCTTTTACGCAGTATAATGTTTTTGAGATTCATTCGTGTGTTGCATGCATCAGTAATTTGTTCCTTTTCCTAGCAGCGTAATTTTCCATTGTATAAAGATACTAAAATATGTTTACTTCATATTTCATTGACGGCTATCTGAAATCTACCCATTTTTTGGCTCTCACTAATAAAGTTTTTACAAACCTTCTTGTACACATCTTTCTGCTAACATATGTTTTCAATTCTATTGGATAAATATTTAAGAGTAGAATTGCTGTGTCATGGGAGAGGTGTATGTTTAGTTTTATGAGACATTGCCAGACCTGTTCCAAAGCAAGTGTACCATTTTTTTTTATCTGTCCATCGATGTATGAGAGTTCTGGCTGCTCCACGTCTGCACCAACATTAGATGTTGTCAGTTTTTTAAAATTGTAACCACTCTGATGAGTATGTAGTTGTACTTCGTTGTGGTTTAAATTGCATCCCCTTGTTGACTAGCAGTGTTAGACATCTTTTCATGTGCTTCTTGGCCATTCATTTATCCCTTTTGGGGAAATGTAAATTCAAATGCCTAGGACAGGGCTTGAGCCACAGTAGGGGCAGAAAGAAAGGAAGAGGTAGCATGAGGTAGAAGTTAAGAGCACAAGCTCTGTAGCCAGTTTATCTGAATTTAAATCCTGGGTCTGCCACTTACTATCTGTGTGACTCTAAGGTCTTTAATGCCTCTGTGTCTCCATTTCATCCTCCACGGAATGTGAATAGTATCACAATGCATAGTAACAAATGTGTAATACCTCCTGTGGTTGTTGTCCCACACAGAGTTATTATTATAACTGTTAAGAGGATAGTGGTGCTGCCAGCAATCAGGTTGCCTGGGTTTGAACTTGGCTTTTTGTGACCTTGGGTAACTTGCCTAACCTCTCTGAGTTCTAGCTTCCTAGTTTGTAAAGTGAAGACAATGGCTACCTCTGGGCTGTATGTGAGGATTAAATGAGAGAATGCATGAACCTCGCAACACAGCGAGGGGCCCATATGAAGGGCTCTATAAATGTTGACTGTAGTCTTCGTCATCATGCATGTATTGATGGAGGGACTTTACCTCCCTGCAGATGTGGACGAGTGCAAGGAGAGGGAGGACGAGGAGCTGTCCTGTGACCATTACTGCCACAACTACATCGGTGGCTACTACTGCTCCTGCCGCTTTGGCTACATCCTCCACACAGACAACAGGACCTGCCGAGGTAGAGCCGACCAATGATTCCGTGCATTGCCCTTACATGCCACATCCTCAGTAACGTTAGATGAGACTCAGAGAAAGACAGATGTGCAGTAGGAACGGGTGAAAATGAAGTCAGTGATGCACCTCAGACACCACATGGATGAAGATGCAGAAATGCCCCCCCAGCAGTCCGGAAACCTGATCTTGGCTTATCAAAGGAGAGAAGCTCTAGACTATTTGGCCATCTTTCTTCCTCTGCCTCCTGGGTTCAAGTCATTCTCCTGCCTCAGCCTCCTGGGTAGCTGGGATTCCAGGCATGCACCACCATGCCTGACTAATTTTGTATTTTTAGTAGAGATGGGGTTTCTCCATGTTGGTCAGGCTGGTCTCAAACTCTCAACCTCAGGTGATCTGCCCACCTCGGCTTCCCAAAGTGCTGGGATTACAGGTGTGAGCCACTGCGACGGGCCAGCCATCTTTCTTTCCAGGCAGCATTTTTACTATATAGATTGCTGTCTTTTTTCCTATTGCAGGTAATTGGGTTGGTCAATTTAGGGGACAGCCTGGGTTTCCCGGTTCTTTCTCTTTGAGCCATGAACTGTGCCTTACCCAGCAACTCCTTTTCTCTTGTTTTCCACGGCCCCTAATTTCCTCTACAGCAGAGAGACCTCTCCAAAGGAAAGAAGAGAGAGAGGAAAGAAGCAAGCAGAGACAGCCAGAAAACTTCCCACTCCTTCTCTCTTTGTTTTCATTTCTCATCAACATACCTACTGTACTGTAGTCTGGTGCTTACAGAGAGATGGAGAAATGGAGGGGTTTAGCCATTTTCTAGGAGGAGCTCTTGGGCAAGTGAGGTAATTGCCATGTAAGCAAATGGTGGACTGTCTTATGGTCTCTATTTTAACATTAATGTTTCCATTACATTTACATAATGAAAGTATGGACATAGCGCAGTCAGACCTGCACAGGCAAACATTTCCCAGAGATGTGACCCTTGACAGAGATGACAGAGTAAGGAGAAGAAGGGCCTTCCAGGCAGAGAGAACAGCTTCTGCAGTCAGCGCTGTGATAGAACTTGCAGGGTTTCAGGGAACAGCCAGTAGATGAGTGTGGTCCAGGATAAGCGTCTATGCTTGAGATCTCACTTGGAAGCTAGCTGAGTGAAGGATCACTGGAAGAGGGCAAGTCCGGAGACAAAAGATTTTTTTCTTCCTCCTTCAAAAGCTGCTATTTGCTTCTGAATAAAACCCCATAAAACATATCAGTATAAAGCAATCTAAAATCAAAAGAATGGGCACATGCAGAGTTTTCTTAAAGAGTATTATGTTTTCTATTGTTTTTATTCAGTCAAGTTTTTATTGAGTATCTACTGTGTGTTGAGTACAGTCAGGGCCAAGAATGCTCGGGGTGGAGCAAGCATTCTCACTCATTTTCTTCATTTTCACCCATCACCAGGAGCCTTTTAAAATATCATTTTCCTGATAGTTCTATGAAATTTTAACACCACAGATAGACTATATATCTGTTTATGTACTGTACATCCATCTGCGTATTATGCATTTAAAAAGTAAGACCTTCCCCATCAAGAAGGAATTTTAGCTTTCTTGAGGGCAAGATCACCCCCATGAGAAGGCTTGGGGTAGAAAATGAAAACAGATGGAAACTCAGGAGACTTCTATCTTAACCTTGTTCTGCAACTCATAGCTGTGAAATTTTAAGTTAGTCATACCCCCTTTTTCCAAACCACAGTTTTCTCATTCACAAATAAGCAGAATGAACAAGAGCTTAGAAACATTAACACCTCAAATCTAGAATGAGCTGGCCCAAAGGTAAAGGCTCAGTGACAAATAAAGGTTCCTTAGCAGGGCTAAAGTCATGCCTAGCTTCCCAGGACAGTGGACTCTTGGTTGCAGTAAATGCAGTGGCAAACAAAGCATAATTCCTGAACTCACAGAACTTATAGTCTAGTAGGAGCAAGAAAATCAACATAAAGTTAGGGAGTTTTTAAAAGAAAATCTTTAGACAAATTAAATTTAGCAGAGTTTCCCTGAGCAAAGAACCATTTGAGAATCATCCCCTCCACCCAGCCCACCACCACCAAAATATGTTGAGAGAAGCTCCAGGATTGCTCATGTTGGATAATGTTTATGGGAAGTGGAAGGAAAATGATGTACATCACATGGAAGTCAGGTACAGAAACAGCCAAATTACTTACAGCTATATTTGCCTTGTTTGAACATAGTTTGAACAGAAGGCCACCTGTGACTGGCCAAAATTCTGTGATTGATACTGTTAACTTGAAAATCAAGATTACAAATCCGTAAGTTTAGAAAAAGAGAGGATATTTTATTTCTTATAAAGGGTGACAGCAGGTGGCCAACCTCAGAGTCTGGGAAGCACAGCCTCCAGCCAAGATCAGAACCAGGCACTTAAAAGGAGGAGGGGTTGAGTTAGGAGCTTCATGCTGAACAGGTTGGCTAAACATTCATATTCAACAGGCCACAGGAGGAGCTATGAATATTCATGAGAGTGGTCCTGGCACATACATATTGAACAAATATGCATGTCACATCTGACCCATGTTCACTTTAGGATGGAGACTTCACATTAAATGTATTACGGTTAGACCCTTTCGGTCAAAAAGTCTTCAGGACAGGAGGCATTCAAGTGTGCAGCCTCTGTAAACTGGCAAGAATCAATCTATGGTCAGAAGTCTCTTATCAGGAGAAAGTGACTGAAATCAATCTCTTGTCCATTCAAAGCTACAGTTATGGCTGGTGGAACAGGGTGGCAGTCAGTCCGTCAGCATCTGGCGGAGCTGAAAATATTTTCATATCACTTATCTCAAGCCTAGTGCTTGTTGCTTAGCTGCTGAAGAAAAAGAAAAACTTCATAGCATTGTAAGAACATAGTTTATGCTTTTGGTGTAGGGATACATGGCTTAACCCTTGCCTGGCCTGGCCTTAGGTCCTTCATAATTCATAATTTGGTATTTTATTGCCACAAGGAGCCTGTTTTCTCATTCTCGTGATCTCTGGTTTAACATTACTGCTGGTCAATTGTTGTGTCCAAACTGCAAAGAAGAGAGGATATACACGGAGTATCCAACCTACCATTCCATCATGGCCAGAAATTCCATTTTAAGGTTTTTCTGGAGATGCTTTTGCCACGGGGGGCTCATTAGGTCACTGGAGGGCTTGGGATTTTATTTTTAGTTTACAGTCTATTTAAAAATCCATTTAGGTTACAGTTCACCATGTATGCAGAAACCTTCAGGCTGAATTTAAAATGTGTAAGGAGGCCAGGCACGGTGGCTCACACCTATAACATCAGCATTTTGGGAGGCCAAGGCATGCGGATAACTTGAGTCTAGGAATTTGAGATTAGCCTGGGCAACACAGCAAGACCCTATCTCTACAAAACTACAAAAATCAGCCAGGTGTGGTGGCACATGCCTGTAGTCCCAGCTATTCAGGAAGTTGAGGTGGAAGGATTGGCTTGAGCCCAGGAGGCGGAGGTTGCAGTAGGTCGAGACGGCACCACTGCACTCCAACCTAGGCGATAGAGTGAGGTCCTATCTCAATAAAATAAAATAAAATAAGAAGGAAGCTTTGGGCTACATTTAATTGAACAGAGTGAATAGGACTACAAATAAAAACAAAACAAAGAAGGGCTAGAAAGTGAGGGTGTGTATGAAGGGCCTGTGGGAGATGAGGGATCTCCTGAAGTTCTGGGTGGAGGGACAGCAGGATCACAGAGGTCCGGGCACCCCCCTGACCACTCCATCTCAAACACTTCCCTCTCATGTTCCTCTCCCTGACCCCTATACCAGAGGATCTGATGAGAAGGATCATTACAGGGTACACAACCCTGAGAGACAATTAGAAAATCTGTTATCGAGTCTCAACTCTGTCAATTACTAAACATGCAACCTTTAATAAATCATTTCCCTTCATTGAGCTTCATTTTTTCCATCTGTAAAATGGAGATGCCAATACCTTCTCTGTCTACTGCTTGGGACCACTAGGAATATCATATACTAACAGATAAACAAGGCTTGCTATGGCGTGGTTGCGATGTGCCATTTTCTCTGCTGTGTTTCCAACAGTGGAGTGCAGTGACAACCTCTTCACCCAAAGGACTGGGGTGATCACCAGCCCTGACTTCCCAAACCCTTACCCCAAGAGCTCTGAATGCCTCTATACCATCAAGCTGGAGGAGGGTTTCATGGTCAGCCTGCAGTTCGAGGACATTTTTGACATTGAAGACCATCCTGACGTGTCCTGCCCTTATGACTACATTAAGGTGAGCCTACAACAAACACTTGTCCTAGAGATGCTGGAAAATCTTGGCTGAGTTGGGGAAATTGATATTCTGGAACTCTCACCTTCTTCTCCCAGGATAGAGAGCCAAGCAGCTAGTTTCTCAAAAAGCCATTATTTAAAATAACATCTATCATCTTAGTTTGATCTATTCCAGGGATCTCTGATCTGAAACTATCACCCTGGCCACTAGGGTGGCTTGAGGAAGAGAGTCATAAGGTCAAAATCAGCATTTTATTTTTTTTTAATTACTGTTACTATTATTTTGAGACTGATTCTCACTCTGTCGCCCAGGCTGGAGTGCAGTAATCTTGGCTTACTACAACCTCCACTTCCCAGGTTCAAGGGATTGTCTGCCTCAGTCTCCCGAATAGCTGGGATTACAGGCAAATGCCAACATGCCCAGCAGATTTTTGTATTTTTAGTAGAGACGGGGTTTCACAATCTTGGCGAGGCTGGTCTTGAACTCCTGACCTCATGATCCACCCACCTCGGCTTCCCAAAATCCTGGGATTACAGGCATGAGCCACCGCACCTGGCAAATCTGCATTTTAGAAAGGTCTCTTGCGGGCATGCCCAGCCCCATGGGCATCCATGCCCTGCAGTCGCATAGGGCCCTGTGCTCAGAGGGGCCTCATGCTTGGTTTAATAAGCATATGAAATTATTTTTTCTTCTCTTTATTTTTTTAACCTATTACCAAATTTTTAATTTGAAATTTTTAATTCATTTTAAATAAGGGGCTCTGTATTTTCATTTTGCCCCAGACCTCACAAATTTTGCTGCTGGGCCTGCTTGCGGGAAGAGGCTATGTGAAAGGCAAATAAAGAGGGAAGAAATACCACAGGCAAATAACTACCCAGTTTGTGGTTATTTCAATATTATAATGAAGACGCAATGGCAGCCTGAATTTGAGCCATGGCTGGGATAATCGGGGAGATATTTTTGAGATACGTGGAAAGTAAAACCAGCGATTCTTACAGAGGGATCAGTCAAAGCATCCAAGTAGAGCTAAATATTAGGGTCTATCTCAGAAGAGCCGCTGAGCTGGGGATAAAGATGGGAGCCATCAAATGTTTAAAGAGGTGCTGATTTAAACCATGGAAATGGCAGGATGTCCTAGAAAAAAAAAATGGAAGCTAGAACACAATAAATTATGATACCTAGACGGAGGCAGGGAAACCCACAAAAGAGGACAGAAAGAGCCAGAAAAGGAGGCTGCCAAAAAGAAAGCTGTCAGCAGTGAGAGAGGCAGAAAAGCCCGAGAGGACACAAAAGAAAACTCTGGAACCTAGGGCCTGACCTGTCCCCTACTTGGATACAGAGGCTGAGAAGCAGCGTGGCTAGAGGTGGAATATCAGGAAGTATAGACCACGGGTTTTCTATTTTGCTGTTTTAGCAAACTACCACAAACATAACAGCTTAAAACCATCCCAGTTTCTTAGCCCAGCATTGTGTAGCTCAGAAGTCCCAGTGGGCACAATTGGGATTCTTTGTTTAGGGTCTCATGAAACTGAAATCCAGGTGTTAGCTAGTGGAGCTCTTATCTAGAGGCTCTGGAGAAGAATCAACTTCATCGATCATTTAAGTTGTTGGCAGAATTCAGTTCCTTGCAGATATAAGACTAAAATCTCCTTCTTCCTGGCTGTTGGCCAGTGGTGGCTCTCAGCTCTAGAAGTTGCCTTCAGATCCTTTCACATTGCCCCTTGACATCAGAAACAGTCCCTTCCATCAAATTCCTATCACACTTCAAATCTCCCTGACTTCTGCTGCTGCCGCCAGCCGGAGGAAACTGTGTTGAATGGGTTCATGTGAATTCCACCCAGATATTCTTCTTAACTTTAGGTCAGCTAATGAATAACTTTAATACATCTGCAAAATCCCTTTTGCTGATTAATATCACATCACCACAAAGTAACACCAGGAGTGAAGGTCAAGGGGGCCTACCCCAGAATTCTGCCAGGTGTCCCAGGAACTACACCTGGGAGCCTCACTGTAGCAGGCAACCTCTTGGGCTTCCTTTGTTTCCCCCTCTCCTCAGTAAGGACAAGAAGACAAAGATGTCACTTGGGATTGTAGAAGTCACCAAACGATAGGTAAGGAGTCATGGCGGAGATGGAAGAAAAGTGGGTTAAAGACATAAAGAATAAACAGGACTGGGAAGTGGAGAATCTGGATCAGATGATAGAGTCTATTGCCTTCTCTCCTCCACTGCCCCCAACCCCCGACAAACACATCACCTGTCTCCTGCTCAACTGCAAAACTTCCCATTGCTTTTTTTTTTTTTTTTTTTGGCTTCCACTCTGGCCCTACACAATCTGTTCTCCCACAGCAGAGAGGGTAATCTTTATAAAAGCTAGATTCAATCAAATTTGCATTTGAAATTAAACCTAAATTTGTCAACACAGTGTAACCTTTGTCTGTTTTCCAACCTCATGCTATGGAACGCCCACTGCCCAGCCAGCATGGCTTCCTGCCTGTTTCTAACACTAAGCAAACTCTTTCCCACCTTTGGCCTTGATTTTACATCTGCAGTTTTCTCTACCTAGAAAGTGTTCTTCCCTTCTCTTCAAACAGGCTCATACTCATCCTACATATCTGAGATCCCCAGTACTACCTCAGAAAGGACAACAAGACAATTAATTTGTTGGATCACCTAATTACAATTATTATACATTATATTGCCATTATAGAAATGATTACCTCTGGCCAGGTGCAATGCCTCACGCCTATAATCCCAGCACTTTGGGAGGCCGAGGCGGGCAGATCACCTGAGGTTGGGAGTTCGAGACCAGCCTGACCAACATGGAGAAACCCCGTCTCTACTTAAAATACAAAAATTAGCTGGGTGTGGTGATGCATGCCTGTAATCTCAGCTACTCGGGAGGCTGAGGCAGGAGAATCACTTGAACCCAGGAGGCAGAGGTTGCAGTGAACTGAGATTGCACTATTGCACTCCAGCCTGGGCAACAAGAGTGAATCTCTGTTTTAAAAAGAAAGAAAGAAAAAGAAAGAAAGAAAGAAAGAGAGAGAGAGAGAAGAAAGAAAAAGAAGAAAGGAAGGAAGGAAGGAGAAAGAAAAGTGATTATTTCTATAGGTTACATAGATTTTACTACATAAATTATAAACATATGGCATATATTTCTATTACATATGCATATCATCCTGATTTTATTTATGACCCTTATGACAGCCTATAATTCTTTTGTTTATTATTTATTGTTAGTTTCCCCCAACTATAGACTGCAGGTTCTTTGGCAGCAGAGATCTTCTCTGCTTTAGGCACCAGGCAGTGCTCTGCCCTTCTCTGAGCCACAATATGTTCATCTCTAAGCAGAGGATTTTTTTTTTTAATTTTACTTTGAGTTCTGGGATACATGTGCAGAATGTGCAGGTTTGTTACAGAGGTATACATGTGTCATGGTGATTTGCTGCACCCATCAACCCATCATCTAGTTTTTGTTTTGTTTTGTTTTGTTTTTTGAGATTGAGTCTCGCTTTGTCACCCAGGCTGGAGTGCAGTGGCATGATCTGGGCTCACTACAACCTCCACCTCCCAAGTTCAGGTGATTCTCCTGCCTCAGCCTCTTGAGTAGCTGGGATTACAGAGGTGCGCCACTACACCTGACGAACTTTTGTATTTTTAGTAGAGACGGGGTTTCACCAAGTTGGCCAGAATGGTCTCCATCTCTTGACCTTGTGATCCACCCATCTTGGCCTCCCAAAGTGCTGGATTACAGGCATGAGCCACCACACCCTGCCCGTCAGCTAGGTTTTAAGCCTCACATGCATTAGATATTTGTCCTGATGCTTGCTCCCCACTCACTGACAGGCCCCAATATGTGATGTTCCCCTCCCTGTGTCCATGTGTTCTCATTGTCCAACTCCCACTTTGGAGTGAGGACACGCAGTGTTTGGTTTTCTGTTCCTGCGTTAGTTTGCTGAGAATGATGGCTTCCAGGTTCATCCATCTCCCTGCAAAGAACATGAACTCATCCTTTTTTATGGCTGCATAGTATTCCATGGTGTATATGTGCCACATCAATGCCAGTCTATCACTGATGGACATTGGAGTTGGTTCCATGCCTTTGCTATTAGAAATAGTTAAGCAGAAGATTATTAACCTGCCTTGTCCATGTCAAGAGCCATTGTAAATTATAAATGAGAGAGTGGAGATGAAACCATTTGGTGACTGGTCAGGCTGATTAAAAACCTAAGTGAATACCAAGGGTTCATGTGGAGGTTTCCAGAAAACCCAGAGTGCAGTGGAGAGGTACTGCCTGCAGTGGCCATGTTGACTGCTCAGATGGAACCCTCTCTTTATCTCTCTCAAATTTTGCAGGTCAAAGTTGGTCCAAAAGTTTGGGGGCCATTCTGTGGAGAGAAAGCCCCAGAGCCCATCAACACCCAGAGCCACCATGTCCTGATACTGTTCCATAGCGACAACTCGGGCGAGAACCGGGGCTGGAGGCTCTCATACAGGGCTGCAGGTAACCTCTTCCCTCCCAGGTCACACTGAGCTGTGGTGCTTAGCCCTTGCTGAGGCAGTGGCTGAGGGAGGAGGGGGTCAGGCTTGGATCTCCTCTGGGGACCTGATGGAACTCCCAGTTGAGCAGCTGGGGACCAAGGCACGTGCTCTCTCCTGACTTAGTTTTCTGTGTATAAAATGAGGGCAAGGGCAACAATAATGTCACGTGGACTAAACTGGTGGCTTTCGAAACATGTACTTCAGTATCACATAGAGAGACTAAAGAAAAAGAAATCTTGTTTCCTGAACTCTACCCCTCACAGTGATTCAGTAGACTTGGGGAGGGCATTTTCAGCTCCAGCCTTCTCCAAATCTAGGGCTAGAATTTGGATATGGGCCTGGAGTCCAGAATGTTTCATTATGGTGCTTTGTCTCCTTGTGGGCACCCCCATCAGCAAAGCCCCTGGGTCTCATGACCCTGTCCCCTGAGTCAGCCAGTCCTGGCCCAAACCTTGATCGAGCCACCTGAGCTGCAGAACTGGTCTGTAGGAATTCAAGGAGGGAGAGGGTGAACATCAGTGACAAACGATCTCAGCTGGGCATGACCAGTTCAGTTCACAGACTGAAACCCTGGCCCAGCCTGCATTATCACGTGCACTGCTCAGACTGGGGAGAGCGGAGACGATATTAACAAAGGATAGTTTGTCTCTGAAAAAGTGTCAGGGATAGGCCCAGGCCTGAAGAGCCTGTCAGATTTAGCCTTTCGAAGAGAGGACTCAGAGGCATATGATCACAGTCTTGCTAATGCTTTGAAGAAGGGTCTTGGGAAGAAAGAGCAATTTGGGTCATCCTTAATGGCCCAAGAGGACAAATGAGTAAAAATTACAGGGGCGTGAATTTCAGCTAAGTAGGAAAACAGTGTTCATGTACTTAGCAGAGTCCATTACTGAAAGGTACAGGTTAGGGAGGCATTGAGCTCCCTGTCACTGTGTCCCCGAGCCGCCATGCTTAGCCCTCCCAGGGGTGGTGGTTGAGGAAGGAGGGGTGCAGGTTTGGACCTGCTGGGGCTCCCAGCTGAGCAATATGTTTGGTGTCTACTGCGGAGGATATTGTAAGAAAAGCATCAGACAAGGATTGGATTTAATGACGTTTAACATTCCTTCCAACCCTGAGTTTTAATGAAATCATCTGGCCAACCATTTCATTCTACACGTAAGGACATGGTGGTCCAAGTTGGAAACTGTCCTATTCACAGTTCCAGAATTAGTCTCTTGCAGGGCCTGGAAGATCCATGCCTCCAATACCCAGTTTCATATTGTATTCACCTTCATCAGGCCTTGCTTTCTAGGGACTGGCCCTTTAAGGCAAGACTTCTCATTTTCTCACCTGCTGTTCTTTCATTTGCTCCCCACCAGGAAATGAGTGCCCAGAGCTACGGCCTCCTGTCCGTGGGAAACTCGAGCCCTCCCAAGCCAAGTATTCCTTCAAAGACCAAGTGCTCGTCAGCTGTGACACAGGCTACAAAGTGCTGAAGGTGCAGAGCCCTGCTTGGGAAAGGGGAGTGACTAGCCCACAGAAAATCTCCCCATCTGCCCCCTCCCCAGGGCAGATGGGCTGCCAACACTGGTCATAGTTCCAGCACAGAACTATGGGTCACACTTCCTAGCTGCCCATCAACTTCTCAAATGTTCTGGAAATTCCAAAGCATGTGTCCCATTCTCACACTCTGAAAATAGCACAAAAGTTTGTTCCCCCACCCCCAATCAGAGCATGAGTTGGTTTGAATTTTAAAAATATGAGCCGGGCACAGTGGCTCATGCCTGTAATCCCAGCACTTTGGGAGGCCGAGGTGGGTGGATCACAAGGTCAAGAGATCGAGACCACCCTGGCCAACATGGTGAAACCCCTTCTCTGCTAAAAATACAAAAATTATCTGGGTGTGGTGGTGTGCACCTGTAGTCCCAGCTACTCAGCAGGCTGAGGCAGGAGAATTGCTTGAACCTGGGAGGTGGAGGTTGCAGTGAGCTGAGATTGCACCACTGCACTCCAACCTGGTGACAGAGCGAGACTCCATCTCAAAAAAATAAATAAATAAAAATATGGATCCATACAGCTCTATAATCAAGGATGAGAACTGTAAACAAAGTTCATCAGGCTTATAGGGTGGAGTGGAATGGGATACCAGAAAAGGAAACAGACATTTTTAAAGTAGTAGGTGGGGCCGGGCGTTGTGGCTCCCAGAATTTTGGGAGGCCAAGGCAGGTGGATCACCTTAGCTCAGGAGTTTGAGACCAGCCTGGCCAATATGGCGAAACCCCATCTCCACTAAAAAATACAAAAAATAGCTAGGCGTGGTGGTGGGCACCTGTAATCCCAGCTACTTGGGAGGCTGAGGCAGGAGAATCATTTGAATCCAGGAAATGGAGGTTGCAGTGAGCTGAGATCACACCATTGCACTCCAGCCTAGGTGACAAGAGCAAAACTCCATCTCAGGAAAAAAAAAAAAACGAATGGATGGGTTCCCCTCATTCTCCCATACCCTGAAGCAGTAGTTCTAAGAATCACGTGGTTAGCTTAAAAAAAAAAATCACCTCTCAGCTCTCACTTGAGATCAGTTAAAGCAGACTTTTGGGGGCTGAGACCAGTGATTGGTGCATCCAAGCTGGAGGACCACCGTTTTCAGGGAATAGTTCTCAGAGAGGGGTCCTTAGTCTCAGCATCACAGGGGGCTTGTTGGAAATGCAGGTGCTGGGGTAGGCCAGCCCCACTGAATCAGAAACTCTGGGGGAGAAGCCCCCCAGCCCATATTTTAGCAAGCCTTCTAGGAGATGCTGACCGCTTATCCTAGTTTGAGAGCCACTGCTCTGAAAAAGGAGTCAATGCTACAGCTTTCCCTTCATAGATAGTTGCCCAAACTGCTTCTTACACACAGCCCTTGACCCTCTCTGGAGTATGAAAACGGAATACGAATTCAGCATGTATCTTTCCCCTACCTTCAAGCTTGCCCTTGGAGGCCCCCGGGTGGAAAATTTCAATCGAGAACAGGCACATGTGCAACTTGAGTTGGTTTTGCCAGGAAACAACCTCTGACACCACCCCCACCTCCTTCTTCCCACTGCCTTCTTCCTGTCTCTTCCCAGGATAATGTGGAGATGGACACATTCCAGATTGAGTGTCTGAAGGACGGGACGTGGAGTAACAAGGTTCCCACCTGTAAAAGTAAGAAAGCCTAATGCGTTGTTATAAAGATACTGAGCTCCCCAACACTGGTGGGATACGGGCAGAGCATACAAGGGTGAAAGCGTGGCAGGAGCACTAAGGGGGATGGGAGCAGGAATTTAACAGACACACAAGGGTTGGGGACAAAAGAATATCAGTGCTCCTTTTGGCAATCAGACGTTAGGATCCCAAAAGAAACTGCTTGTGGTCTCCAGTTTACTGTTAAATACCGATTTCACTTCAGCCTAATAGAAGGGTTGCCAGACTTACTAAAGGAATAGCGTGTGTCCAGGCTCGAAACCAGCTTTGGCAACTGCTAATTCAGGAAACTAGTTTGGTGCTGGTGCCCAGAGCTGAGTGACCTCGCTAGTCTTCATGTGGCCATGAGCCATATCCCCTATGTCTTCTGAGACAGCTCAAGATTTAGGGCTGTGTGGGAAGGGCCGTGGGGTCAACACAGCAAGCCTGCATGAAGCAGACGATACAGCTCTTCACTGGCTCCCGGGACCCAGAGTTCTTGCCTTAGGCCCTGCCCCTAACCAACTCTGTGACTGTGAATAAGACCCTTCGCCTCAACTATAAATTAAGGAGTTTGGACTACCTTTATATTTTATAATATGTGCCCATTGGTTTTAAAATAATATAGTCTATATAAATCATTTACTGAGCTTTGTAAAAATCCAAGCTTCCAACCACTTCACCTCATCACCACCCCCTACAACCACCCCTCAGCACTTAGGTGATGTCAATGAAAGACTTATAAGGACCACAGTTTTAGAAACTTATCTATGACCAACATTGATGAGAGGTGGCACAGCAACAGAAATAGGGAAGGAAGGGAGAGAGAAGGGGGAATGTGCTTTACAATGGAGAGGTGAGGTCAAGAATTAGAGCCTGGCATGGTGGCTCATGTCTGTAATCCCAGCACTGTGGGAGGCAGCAGTGGGTGGATCACTTGAGGTCCGGAGTTCCAGACCAGCCTGGCCAACATGGTGAAATCCTGCCTCTATTAAAAATACAAAAATTAGCTGTGTGTACTGGTGCACACCTGTAATCCCAGCTACTCTGGGGACTGAGGCAGGAGAATTGCATGAACCCGGGAGGTGGAGGTTGCAGTGAGCCAAGATTGTGCCATTGCACTCACTCCAGCCTGGGTGACAGAGCAAGACTTTCATCTAAAAAAAAAAAAAAAATCAAAAAAACTAGAATTGGAGTTGGTCCTACCCATCTTCCTTTCATTATTTCATGCAAACTGGAACGTTGTCCTCTTCCCTTTCTCCTACATGGCCTTGATTCCGTAGGCAGACAAATGTCCTTCCATTGTCCCAAGGGGGACATTCCCTTAAGGCAAATCCCAGGCAGAACTTTGAAGTGAAATATGCTTGTTCTTGGTTTTTCCTTTCGTATGATGTGGCTGGAGTCAGAGCCTAGTGTGGGGAAAGAGGGGGCATGTTATGGCTTTAACAAAATGTTTCAAAAAATTTTGACTGGATGCCTGTGCAGAGTTCTATGGGGAAGTCAGATGGAAAAGACAAGGGCCAGGCACAGAGGAACTCAAACGCTGGTGGCCACAGGCACCGCCTGCCGCAGTCTGAGGCTCTAGGTGCAGTGCTGGGAAAGCCTTGTAAGCAAAGCACTGCGGAACAAAGCAAGGGCCGTGTTGAGGGAGAAGGTAAAGGAGGATATGTGATGTCTGGGACAGAATCGGGCTTTGGAGTCACAGGAGGTTCTAGATTCAAATGCAAATTCTGCCAGCTGAGAGTCCCTAATCGATGTATTCAGACTCTTTCAGTCTCAGTTTCCTGCCCTCAAGATTGGTCCGGGGATTAACTGGGTTAACATACACACTATACCCATGGAGGGCCAGAAATGTGCAAAAGATCAACAAACTCCTCCCCCAACCCAATCCCCTTACTGGGAAGGGGTTTCGTTTCGCTCATTCATGTTTTTGGAAAGTAGGAAACATTAATAGTGTTTCCTTGATTAATATTTTTCCCTGACTTGTGTTAGCATACAACAGAACACCCTGTCATTTTTTAGTAAAGCGGAATTGTTTCTCTCCCTATTATTACCCTGTTCTCCAAAAATAGGCTGTATTAAGACTATTAGAATTCCCATTCAGGCATACCCAGCATCTTTTCTTACTCAGTAAGTATTCATTGAGTATCTCTCTGTACCAGGCACTGTGCTAGATCCTAGGGGAAAGGCATAGACAGGACTGAGGAGTTGAGAGTCCCCAGGGATTGTGGGGTACAAGACTGGAAACAGACAAGAGGTGTGCACTGTCTGGTAAAGAAGTGTGCACTAGAAAAGAGGCTGGGAATTATGGGTTGTTGGTCTGGCCCTGCCTCCACCTCGCTGTGTTGACCCCTGGACAAATCCTGTTCTACTCTGAATGCTGTCAAGTGAGGGTTTGAACCAGATGCATGCAAAGCTCCCTCCAGGGACAGATTTTTATAATCCTCATGAGCCAGGATGTATGACTCTGCAAATTCTCAGAATGATACAAATTCCACAATCCCAAACTGTTCTTCACACTGGCTGTACCTAAACTATGCGTTCTTAATCAATTCTGGTGGAGTGATTTCTGTATTTCCTGCATAAACTGTTTCTGCTTTGCTTGCTAATTTCTCTCTCTCTCTCTCTCTCTCTCTCTCTCTCTCTCTCTCTCTGTCTCTCTCTCTCTTGCTCTTCCTCTCTCTGCTTCCTTCCTCTGTGTCTCTTGATCTCTCTTTGATCTTCACTATGGTGGCAGAAAACGAAATCGATCTGGAGAGCGAACTCAAGTCAGAGCAAGTGACAGAGTGAATGACGGGACCACACACAAAGCAGACATCCAGAAATGGATCACTCCCAAGACCCCTGAGGCCCAGAGCTGCACCTCCCCTCCCACCAAACAACACTCCTGTGCCCCTTTCAGTGTGGATTAGAATGAGTGCTGAACAAAGCAACATGATCTCAGCAGCTGAAGCTGCTACATGTGTGAAAACAAATTCTCCACTTGAGGGTTTGCCCGTCATTCAAACACTGCTCCAGAAAATAATGAAAAAAAAAAAAATATGGGATTTATTTTAGCACCTCTGAGTGGACTGTACTTTTCTCAAAGGAAAAAAAAAATGCCTTTGGTCCTAGAGACACAAGATTTAATATAAAATCATGTGGCCTCAGGCTGACCAGATCAGAGTGGTTTCTAATCCATTCTACATTTCAAGTTTAAATGAGCCAGACTGCCTGTGACTTTATGAATCTGAAAGTGTTACCTGTTGCTATTTTCTTAACCACCATGAGTAGGTAAAGCAAATAATAACTCACATAGTGTGGACTTTTGAGGATCTGAATGTTTTCTCATTCACGAAATATCCCTTTTACCCCTACCTAGTGTGGGGCTGAAATGCTATCATTAGAACTTCTTTCCTCTGGGGCTTACAAGTTCTATGTTTCTTAAAATTTGCTGATTAAAAATTTTAAAAAGATAGGTATCACACTTGAAAGCAGTGAGTGGTTCCAGCTCTGTGCCATGGGATATCACAGGTCTTAACCAGTGATAGAGAAAGGAATCTCTGCTTCCATCTGAACATCTGAACATCTGAACACACATGTCAGAGAACCTTTGCATTAAATGGACTGCCCGACCTATTTGGTGATTAACTGGCTATGTGGTGAGGGCACAACCCTGGGCAGTCTGGAGCCTGAGGTGCTATTCTTGGCTAGAGGCACCACTGAAAGAAGAGATGGGCTGTCTGCTAAAGACAAGCACCAGTTGAATAAATGTCTTTAAACCTACAAAGTATTAACAGCCATCACAGTACCATACAGGGAATCAGAATTTAAGAGGAAGCTTTGATATATATCCAAATAATTGTCATAGCTTTGATGTGGGCAGCATGAGACACATGCCATCAAAGAAACATTAGGGAAGAGTTCCAGAACAAGGAAGCAGCCCTGCCCAGTGAGCATAAGAAAGGCTTTCAAGAGGAAGGAGTGTTTCATCAAGGCCTCCAGGGTGGCCAGAGCATGGGCACAGGGTGCCCCAGGCAGCAGGGATGTCACCAGCCTCCTCTTGGGAGCAGGAGGCAACAGGGGAGCACACTGAAGGAGCTGGTGTTTGGAGGGTAGATGCACCAAGGGGAGAAAAGAAGATGAGGCCAGGGAGGGCGCTAGAGCCCAATCCCCCAGGCCTGAGTGCCAGGGTTAGCTGCCTGTGCATCATTCTCTAGGAAGCCCCCCAGGACAGCATGTCACACTTGGAACTGCAGGTCAAGAAAGGTGTGTCTGGAGGAAAATAAGTCTCAACAAGTACTTACCATGGAGATGGGGTGTCGGGTGGTACCGCCAAGGCCAGGGGAAAGAGAAGGGTCTTTTGATTCTGGAGTGTGGAACTGGCCAGAGAGAACTTTAGAGAAAAGGATAGAACCCTTTCTAAAGCAAAGAGCAGGAGGAAGCAGGATCTAGTATGTCCTGATTTTGCCAGACAGAGCTGCTCAAGGGGAAGTCACTTCCAGGTCCCGGAGAGACAAGGCTTTCTCCCTGCCACTGTGGACTTGGGAAGAAAGTGCAGCCCTCCACACTGGCACAACCCCCTCCATGCGCCACTGTTTATCACCCCCTATCTAGTTGTAGGGCCAGCTGTATCCGTGGGTAAAGTTGTTTCTCCAAAGTGACAGGAAAGTAGGTCCCCCACCCATATCTGTCCCCCAGCATCAGCCACGTAACAGGCTCCCAAAGGCCCACCATCTAGCCACCCTAATGCCAACCCTCAAATTCCTGAACTAGGTGGTCAGGTCCTGAGGCCACTTTGACAAGATGAACTGCTGGAGCAAAGTTAAGGGAGATGAGTAATACCAATACTTAGGTACCAGGTCGACGGCATTTTCTAAAAACAGAGGAAAAATCTGCTTTAGCAGAAAATAAATTGAAAACTGTTTATAGTACTTAAATAACAAATACGATTGCCTCATTATCCTAGTGTTGAGCTGCACACAGTTACCTCATAGAGTAGAAGAGCGTCTCTACATTTGGATGATCAAAACAAATGGAGATGATTTGTCCAGCGTGATTGGATTGGAGGCCAGAGCAAAACCAATTGTCTTGGCTTGCCTTCCTTGTGGATAAAAAGTACCTATATTTATGCCCTTCCTTCATCTTTTCCTCCAACTTGGAGGGTCTTGAAATTATTTATGTTTTGAATGGACTCTCTAATCCAAAAGAGATGAATTTGGAGTCCTAAAGTTAAAATGACAATGTCTAAATAGCACTCAGAGGCAAATTATCCCTCACTATTTCCCAAAATGACCAGGTAAAATTCAGGAGGACACGGAACTCTGGAAATTTTACCAAGGCTCTGGAAATTCTGACAATTGATGTCCACCATTAGCCAGCTAATATCTAGAACAGGCCGTTTAACTGGAAAACAGACCCTTAGACACTATTAGTTCCATTTACTAAAACAGCACTGGATTTGAGGTCAAATCTAGCTCTCGCGCTGTGGCAGTGACTTGCTATGTGACCTTACACGAGTCAAGTCTCCTTTGCAGGCTCATAGATAAAATTAAAGAGGACATTCTAGATTGCCTACTTCGGGTGTCTTTCCAGCAGTGAAATTCTGTGATTCGTCTATGATTCTTCAACTCTGGAGTTGGCTGTTATATCTACAATTAGGATTTCCTTAGGAATGAAAAGATTAACAAATTTGAGTCCAGAGCCTCTGATGTGGCCGTGAAAAGGGTCCGACTGTCAGCTGACTCACACTGGGCTCCATCAGAGCTATGACTCCCCTAATACTGAGCTGGACTGGAAAGCTCCCCAAAAACCACCTCTGAGCAACAGGAATCATCAGTCCTGTACAGTACTAGGACTTCAGCCAGCTCCAACGCCCAGCCATCAACAGTTACAGAGAATGAACAGGGGAAGACTGAAAGCTGATCTGCCTCTAATGCTGCCTTCTGTCTTCCATGGCCAAGCAAGCTGTCTGTAGAGAGGCAGCAGGTTGGGGCTGTGTACTTATACAGGAGCTGGGTTTTTTGGTTTTTTTGTGTGTGCCAAACTCTAATGCGAGCACATTAGCTGCTCTCAGCCTGTGGTTGGGACTAGAAGAACAAAAGATTATTTGGTTTATGTCAACTAGAATTTTCTCACTAAGCCAAGGGTTTCATGCTAGGGCACAAGAGGCAGCGAGGATTGCCCAGTGAAACTAGAAGTCAAAGAAAGGGGCCCTGGTGGGGAAGAGACCGGAGTCTGCTTAAATCTCAGTAGACCTTCTCCTACCCAAAATGATCACCGGCCAGGTGAGTTGACCACATAGCAGTACCACAATGTATGGGAGAGACCACAAAAGCAGGACCACTGGTAGCTTCACGGGTTGTACACCGCACATCCCAGGAGCACCATTCAGAGGCATTATAATCTTGCTTTCTGGAATTGCGTGCAGTACACAACCTGTACATTTGCATGAGACTGATCCCTCAGAGAAGAGGATCCATCCAAAGAGGGTGAGCAAAAAGCAGTTGAGGGATCTCACTTCTTCTCTCTCAGTTGTAGACTGTAGAGCCCCGGCAGAGCTGGAACACGGGCTGGTCACCTTCTCCACAAGGAACAACCTCACCACATACAAGTCTGAGATCAAATACTCCTGCCAGGAGCCCTATTACAAGATGCTCAACAATATCACAGGTAAGCCCTCCATGCGAAGCCATCCTGCTTCCATCTCACACTCTCGGGGCCTCAGAGTTGGGCTGGGGGCTGAAACAGCTCTGAAAGGGATCACTGCTCATGCACGTGTAGAGCCTGATAAGGCAAAATGTGTCACTCACGCATCTTCTCATCAGGTTCTCACTTTCCATGAGCTTGTGTTACCGCGTCCATATAGAGAGGCAGAAATAGTCTCAAGACCAAAACCCAGGCTTTTTGTTTTGTTTTGTTTTAACTTTAAATCTAGCACTGATTTACTAATAAGTTGTTGGTGGGAGCATGAAGGAATCACAAATTCACACAACTAAGGGAAGATACGAGACTCTAAAGGAAGCTTGGAATCTCCCAAGTTAAACTCCTTCACGTGGTCTGAGGCTGAGCTGGGGTTTCCAATAAATAGCCAGTATTGCTGCTTCACCCAGTATCTGCCTTGGCTTCTGGGTGAGGGCAACATCTCACCAGGCCAGACCCATTCAGCAGGTAGGGGTTCTTCCTTCAAAAACCTGTTCCCCTGAGAAGGACAGGGTCCATGCAGGGTTGGGGAGTGAGACGCAGATCCTCTGCCTCCCCAGGTCGCCCAGCATATGCCCTGACCATAGCTCAAGCACAACCACTGCAGTCTCTGTCCAGGCCTCATCCATGCAACCTGGCAGGGAGACCCCTGGCTGCCCCAGTGGCTGGGCAGCAGCACATTGGCCAAAGCGTGAAGAACCAGCAATGACCTGTCCATCGGCCACACTGGGGGATTGGGTGGAACTGGTAGGATAAGTGCTTAGAGACATAAAACGCCTCTTCCCTGCCTTGTGGCAGCCGAACACCCCCTCAACACACACTCATAGTCCCTAGCAGAAAAGGAACTCAGGGAGCAAGGAAGGCCCGTCGGGTCTGCCTCTCTGGCATGCGAGCACTGAGAACATTCTCCTGACTCATCTAAGCCTCCAAGTTCTCTTTGTTTTTGTTTTTGAGACAGAGTCTCATTCTGTTACCCAGGCTGGAGTACAGTAACATGATCTCAGCTCACTGCAACCTCTGCCTCCTGGGTTCAAGCAATTCTCCTGCCTCAGCCTCCGAAGTAGCTGAGATTACAGGTGCTTGCCACCGCACCCAGCTAATTTTGGTATTTTTAGTAGAGACAGGGTTTCGCCATGTTGGCCAGGCTAGTCTTGAACTCCTGACCTTGTGATCTACCCACCTTGGCCTCCCAAAGTGCTGGGATTACAGGTGTGAGCCACTGTGACTGGCCTCAAGTCCTCATTTGTAAAAGAGGGAACAGTGATGAAGCTCTCAGAGCTATTGTGAGACTCCAATGAGACAGTGGCCACAAATGTGGCTTATTAAAGTCTGTCAAATGGAGAAGAAAGCAAAGGGCATCTGTCCAACAGAGAGCCATGTGAGCCCAGGTCTTTGTGATGAGTGAGGGAGAGGTGACTGCCAGGGGCTGGGCAGCATGGGGTGGGGAGGAGAGCAGCCCTCAGCCAGGCAGCAGTGGGATTCCCCAGAGCTTTGGACAGAGCTTTGGAGTGTGAAGAGTGTGGTGCTTATATTTGAGGGTAACACATGCTGAAGAGTGTGGTGCTTATATTTGAGGGTGACACAGGAGTTTGATAGAGGGACTAGGATGATAGCCCTAGGGGTATTTGAAGGCTATTTGGAGGTCTGTTGGTCTCTTTGGAGGATTATATCCCAGAGACTACCTGCCACAGCCTTCCACTTTGTTCCTCATTATTTGTAGTACATCTAGGCTCAGGAAATCATATCTGAGCCTACATGACCATTTGGAAGACTTTTGTAATAACTCACGTTAGAGAAATTAAGTACCCAGATCCATTTTCCATGAGCTACAAATCAACCATTTTCTCTCTCTTCTCCTAACCTCTTTCGCTAATCCAGGTGTATACACCTGTTCTGCCCATGGAGTCTGGATGAACAAAGTGCTGGGGAGAAGCCTGCCCACCTGCCTTCCAGGTACCTCACTCTCCAAATCCTTTGCCTCAAGGTTTTCCATCAAGGTCCTAGGGCCCCAGATTTTCTGGCTGCTAATAGGGAGATGGGGGAAAGGGGAGGTGATGCTTTGGTTGCTTTTTAAGAGATGTCTTCAAAAGGTGAAAAGTCAGAGAAGCCCTGCTTCACACCTTCTCAAACCAGCCTGTATATTCTGCCTCCTCCATCACTCCAAGAGCCGTCCTGTCCTCTCTCTACGCCCTTGCCACCAGCTTTTTCATATAACACAGTTTGTGTGTGTGCCTGCTGTCATGCGAGGGAAATTTAAAAAGTGGGCACCCTGTCCTCAAGCTGTCACCACGCTATCAAGGAGATGATAAGACAAACAACATCACAACAGGACAGAGTGAGAAATTCTTTCTTCCAAACAGCAATGTGGTCAAGCCTTTCTGATTGCTGCCTTTCCCGTGGTTTACTTACTAACCCCACTTTAAAATGGAAAGAGAATTTTGTGGTAACAGGAAGTGTCACTGTGCATACAGATTTGGGGGACATTTGCTTTAGCATTAAAAGTATGGGCTGGGCATGGTGACTCACGCCTGTAATCCCAAAACTTTGGGAGGCCAAGGCGGGTGGATCATCTGAGGTCAGGAGTTAGAGACCAGACTGGTCAACATGGTGAAACCCCATCTCTACTAAAAATACAAAAATTAGCCAGGCGTGGTGGCACATGCTTGTAATCCCAGCTACTTGGGAGGCTGAAACAGGAGAATCGCTTGAACCCAGGAGGCGGAGGCTGCAGTGAGCCGAGATTGCACCATTGCACTCCAGTCTGGGTGACAGAGCAAGACTCCGTCTCAATAAATAAATGGTATGGATAATTTGCATTGCAATCACACTGTGTAACTACTCAAGCCAACCTAGAAAAGCACAGCCCCAAAATGTACACTCTATCTAGGGTTAAACAAATAATCCACAAAAAATTAAATTTAATACTTATAATAATTTATACTTTTAAAAAAAAAGCAAGAATGGCAGTCATTTAATGATACAGTCACTCAACAGCATTGAGGAATACTGAAAATTAAGTGTCCTGTCTAATTCCATCTACATGTTTGCACAAACAGCAGGAAATCTGCAACATGGTTAAGCACTGGGAAATATTTGTATTTTACTGAATGAGAGTGTTGGGTAAACTGACATAGTGTATTATTGTATTAATGGCACATTTCAGTAACCTTCCATGTTCACTCAGTAGGTATATTAGTCTGTTCTCACACTGCTGATAAAGACATATCCAAGACTGGGTAATTTATACAGAAAAAGGGTTTAATGGACTCACAGTTCCACATGGCTGGGGAGGCCTCACAATCATGGCAGAAGGCAGAAGGCACATCTTACGTGGTGGCAGGCAAGAGAGAAATAAGACATAGCCAGTTTGGGACATAGCCAAACCATATCAGTAGGCTTCTAGATGTCAGACTAGACATTAAAATGGAAAGGCTAAGGCGTTGTCTACCATTCATCCTTAAGAAGTGAAGAACATGTTAGCATTTGGGAGTCAGGTTTTGACCATCACAGGTGCTATGGGACCCCAGAGAAGAAGAAAGTAACAATGCCTGGTTGTCTATGACTGGAGGGGTAAGAACTGACTAGGAAGGCTTCACATAAGAGGTCTTCATTTCTTTGAAAAACTTATGAGGAAGTGGCATAAGGGAATGTTCATCCCACCCACTCTGCTGATCCCACTTACCTAAATTAGGCTTGCCCAGAAGCACACACACGGGCTCCGGGCAGTGAAGCCTCAGAGAAGAGAGGAATGGTGGAGCTACAGCAAACCAAAGATCTGGGCATGGATTATTAATCCATGGCCCATTTTTGCTAAAATACTATGTGAGCCAAAGAAAGCTAGGGATAGGCTGCATGCTGGAAATTCATGTCGCAACCTTTGGAAGGGGACAAAGCACCGCGCAAGGAGTCGGGGCCCTCGGTACTAATCCTGATGCTGCCATTTCCTAACTGTGATCTTTGATAAGTAATTTCACATCTCTGGGTCTGGGATCCCATGCCTCAGAAGTAAAGCATCAGGACCAAGAGACCTATGATAGTCCATGACTCTTAAAGGTCGTCATCCTCTGTGTTTGTCCAAAGCATCTTGGATACAATGAGTCATGAAATTCTTTTAACACCCATTGTTGAGCAGAACCATGGTGTATCATTGGACCAGGCCAGAAATTTCTAAATTCTCTTCTCGTAAAACATTTGTGATTAAACAAGAATGCAGGCCAGGATGGAGAAAGCCATGTCATCTATTGTCATAAGGCCCGCCATTTTAGGAGGCCTGCTAAGCAAATATTACTTGCCCCCTTATTTTATAAATGAGAAAACTAAGTATCAGAATAGTGTAGTGATTTGCACAAGGATACTTGTAGAAAGTTAGAGGCAGAGCTGAAAGGTGAACTCAATACTTTTGATGGCAACATAAGCAATGCCAAGCCATTATTTTACCGTGATCGTGTTTTATGCCATCCTCAGGAACCTTGAATCCTAGAGTATCACATTTTTGTTTAAAAGACCTTCCCTCAGGAGCCACTATCCTCTAGAACCCAAATCTGGCTTCAGCATAACCAAGGCTATAACATTTCAAGAAGATTCCTTTGTCGCAGGAAAGACTGGGTGGGAATAGCAGCAACCAATAAGAATGACCCCATCTCAGTGAGCTCTCCCAAGAGCTTGTTGCATCATTCAACCTCTTAAAAGGACAAGAACACATCCAGGAGAAAGACAGATTTCAGTGGAGCTATGAAGCCAGACTCAGGAGAAACCAGTTCTAGTTCTCGCTTTCCCACTAACAACTTTGAGTAAGTCACTTGCCTTTTCTCAACTTCCACATTTCCATCTGTAAATTAGCTGTTCTCAGCCTGGTGTAGTGGCTCATGCCTGTAATCCCAGCACTGTGGGAGGCAGAGGCAGGCAGATCATGAGGTCAGGAGTTCGAGACCATCCTGACCAACATGGTGAAACCCTGTCTCTACTAAAAATACAAAAATTAGCTGGGCATAGTGGTGTGTGCCTGTAATCCCAGCTACTCAGTAGGCTGAGGTGGGAGAATTGCTTAAACACAGGAGGTGGAGGTTGCAGTGAGCCAAGATCATGCCACTGCACTCCAGCCTGGGTGACAAAGCGAGACTCCATCTCAAAAAAAAAAAAAAAAAAAAAAAAGAAAACTTAGCTGTTCAAGGTTTCTCCAGATCTGATGCATGACCTGCAGTGTGCCACTGGCACTTTTCTTGGAGAAAGGTACCATTTAGTGCTGACTTTGTTGTGGCCACGGACCAACCACAGATGTGTCCCTTACTGGATGAGGGCCTTGAAGCACTAGATGTATGTAGGACCAGTCACAGAACTGCATTGAGATGTTGCCTTGCAGCTTGCTACTTGTAATTGAAAGGCTGACCCTCAACTTTGAAAGGCCAGGCCACAGAGAGTTACAAAAACCTGTTCACATCCAGCCTGGGGTGAATGGCAGGGTGCCCAGGATCTCGCAAGCAGCATTTGGCCTCAGGAAGAAGAGCATCTGAAAAGCATTAGGTTGCTAAAAGCCTGCTCTCCCAAAGTTGCCAAGAAAACTCAATGTTCCACGGTCTCCAAAGGATTGTTGAAAGCGTCCAGGCCAAAGAGTGTAGCCTGGCCATTTGCAACCAGGAGGAGGCCACACTCACAGCAGGTCTGCCTCCCAGACCCAAGCACCCTGCTTGGGAAAGGCCATGCAAGAATGTTCTTAGCCAGTGCTGGCCTGGTGTCGAAGACCTTCTGCTCATGGGCCAGAAGCATTTGGCTGCAGGAGGCTGGTGGTACATGGCACGCTCAGGGTGCAACTCAGTGGAATGAAGTTTCTGAGATCTTTCTCCTTCCCCTAAAGGTACTACGCAGCTCCTGGGTGCAATGATGGGTGGCCCAGAGCATGGCCCATGCATCATTGCTTATAGATTATGCCACCTTTCCCCAGCCCTGGATGCCCTGGGCCTTAATGCATGGACATCAATTTATAGCAAGATCCTTTAAGGACAGAGAAGAAAAGTCTTGAGAGCCTATGTCCATGGTTTTAATAGCTATTGAGTCAGGGTGGGATACAAGACTCAGAATATAGTTAAGCCCCTGCTGTCTGACTTGAGAGTCATATCCCTTTGGACTAGTCACTTAAACTCTGGGGAGGTTTACTCACCTAGAAAATGGTGATGGTCAAGGCAAATAAAATGAAAATTAAAAGATTACTGGAATTTGAAGGATCCATGGAGATCATTGTGACCAAATGCCTTATTTGACAGATCAAAAATTGAAATCCAGAGATGGAAATTCACTGACTCAGAGTCACGTGGGAAATGGGAAAGCCGGGTCAAGGCTTCCAGCGTCTTTGTTCCCAGCCTAGTGTTTGCTGTGACCTGCTAGTTGGTTTTTTAGGTTCCTTCCAGCTCTCTGTCCCCATAGAGAAAAACATTTCAGAAATTCTCTAGGTTCCCATAGCATGAGCACTTCTGAAATAGGACCTGCCTTTCTAGAGCTGGAAGGGGAGAAGTGACCACTGCTAGGAACAGATGGTATAGATGGTCCGGGTCACAAGTGGTCTTAGCCAGAGATGGTTCGGGATACAGAAACCCCAAGCCCAGCGTGGTTCAGTCCAGAGAGGGCCCCAGCTACAGAAGAGCCAGACTAGAGATGGGCCAGCCTAGAGAGACCTAGACCTCAAATGACCCTGAGTAGAGCTCTCCCAGGCTAGCATGACCCAGGCAGGTTAGGGTCCCATGGTGGCGTAATCTATAGTGGGTGAGATGTGACTTTCTCTTTGTGGCTCCTGTCATGTGGCTGACCTGACCAGTCTCTGTCTCTTGTCCCTGCTCCCTCTTTCTCCTTACAGAGTGTGGTCAGCCCTCGCGCTCTCTGCCAAGCCTGGTCAAGAGGATCATTGGGGGCCGAAATGCTGAGCCCGGCCTCTTCCCGTGGCAGGCCCTGATAGTGGTGGAGGACACTTCCAGGGTGCCGAACGACAAGTGGTTTGGGAGTGGGGCCCTGCTGTCTGAGTCCTGGGTTGTCACAGCAGCTCACGTGCTGCGCTCCCAGCGTCGAGACAACACGGTGATACCAGTGTCCAAGGAGCACGTCACCGTCTACCTGGGCTTGCATGACGTGCGGAACAGGTCAGGGGCGATCAACAGCTCAGCCGCCCGAATGGTGCTCCACCCAGACTTCAATATCCAAAACTACAACCATGATATAGCTCTGGTGCAGCTGCAGGAGCCGGTGCCCTTGGGACCCCACATCATGCCTATCTGCCTGCCGAGGCTTGAGCCCGAAGGCCCGGCCCCCCACGTGCTGGGCCTGGTGGCCGGCTGGGGCATCTCCAATCCCAATGTGACCGTGGATGAGATCATCAGCAGCGGCACGCGGACCTTGTCGGATGTCCTGCAGTATGTCAAGTTACCCGTGGTGCCACACGCTGAGTGCAAAAGCAGCTATGAGTCCCGCTCAGGCAACTACAGCGTCACGGAGAACATGTTCTGCGCCGGCTACTACGAGGGCGGCAAAGACACGTGCCTTGGAGATAGTGGCGGGGCCTTTGTCATCCTTGATGACTTGAGCCAGCGCTGGGTGGTACAGGGCCTGGTGTCCTGGGGGGGACCTGAAGAATGTGGCAGCAAGCAGGTCTATGGAGTCTACACGAAGGTCTCCAACTATGTGGATTGGGTGTGGGAACAGATAGGTTCACCACAAAGCATCAGGGAGCCCCGGGTGGAGCCCCAAGTGGAGCGGTGAGCTGACTTACTTCCTCGGGGCCTGCCTCCCCTGCTCCGGGCTGAGCAAAGCTACAGCGCACTTATGACAGCACACTCCACATTGCTTATCAGGCCAAATGGAATGGAACACACGGACCTAGCAGTGGCTCCTCCTACCGAGACAGCCCCGGGACCCTGAGAGGCAGCCGTGTGGTATAAGGAAAAGGCTCCAGGCAAGAGGCCTGCATTCCTGAGCTTGTCCAGCTCTCTTCGCCTGTCTCGGCCTCACTCCCTAGTAATACAATCAGGAGCTCAACCAAGGGTTCTGCGCGTCAATCCCAGCACTCCTCCCCAGGCCATGCTGCTTACCCCAGTGGACTTTATTCACTCCTGACCGCTTATCAAACCCATCAGTCCTACTCTTGATATAACTGAGCTTAGACCTGACTATTAGAAAATTATTTCTAACATTGAACAGTTCTGAGTCTGTATACTTTCCTGCTCTGCCCTCTGCAACTGGCCTTGGCCTAGTCCCTCCTCCAGAAGATCATTCAGGTTTTAGGAGAAGGGTCACAGCGAAGCCCCTCTCTCTGAGTGTAGTCCCTTGGAGCACTCTCATCCCTGGGGGTTCTCACCCAAAAGCTCCTTGCAGTCTGAGCCTTAACGCTTTTGTTCCCCATTAAAGGAATTTCAAAGGACGTGGAGAAAGCTGGAAAGGTTTCTGGTGACTGGTGGGAGCAGAATAGCAGTGGGAGACTCACCAAGCCCTTAAATTCCCATTGTCAACTGAGAACACATTTGTACCCTGGAATACCAGCTGACACCATGGGTGTCCACACCTGCTGCCCCAGACAAGCACAAAGCAACCTTTCAGCCTTGAAATGTGTTTCTAAAAGGCTACCCGAATCCCAGACCCACATGTGGAGACTTCGCTCATTACCCGAAGGTCCTATTTCAGAAGTGCTCAGGCTTCCCTGGAGCCAAGGAAAAGACCCACGCTGTGTCCTGCTGTGCTTTTGGGCAAGAAAATGGAAGAAAGGGTGGCGTTGGCACATTAGGAGTCACCCAAATCCTGCCAGACTGCCTGACATCCCTGGGGCATGAGTTGAACAAAGAATCCACCCCGCAGGACATTCAGAGGGATCCACTCCTTCATTTTCCAGAGTCAAGAGAAGCAGAGACTCACCCATGACAGGCAGTGAAAAGAGCCAAGCGTCCTGGGTTCTAGTCCCAGCTCTGCCCACAGCTGGCTGTATAACCTTCGTCAAATCATTTTCCTTCTCTGAGTCTCTGGTTCTCCATCAACAACAGGAGGGCATAAGGTCCCCCGCAGGGTCCTTCTAGCCAGAGCACTCAGAGCTTCCCTGGCTGCCTGCCAGCAGCCTCTCTGGCCCTCACAAGACTGATTGTTCTCCGTCTCCCTGAAGCTCTCTCCTGGAAATCTCCATCAGAGCAAGGCAGCCGGAGAAGCCCCTGAGAGAGAATGACTGAGAAGTATCCACTTCTCCAACTGGTTCATCAAAGCACACTCCTGTGTCTATGAATGGCACATGTACAGGATGTTGTATTTTGTATTTTTTATATCACATGCTTGACCACTTTCTAAAGGGCTTCTGCATTGTTGCTCCCAGCAGCCATCTAAAGTGGAAATAAACTCTCGTGGATAACCAACAGCCTTGATTTATAGGTTTTGTTCTTGTTGCGGAAAGTGTGTTCATCTGTTTTGACTTTTTGAAAAGAAACTGGCTCCTTCATCAAACCAAAATCTCCCTTATTGCAGAAAAAGTACAACTTTTGGTATCTGGATATTATCCAAGAGGTAATGAGGAAAGGATTTGGTTATTGATGTGTCTCCTTCTCAGAGTCTGCTTAATTCTTAATTTAAGTGCCTGCCATTTAATTCCTTGCCTTCAAAGGGTTGAAACTGGCATACAAGACAAGCTGATGTGCATATAGGTCTTACGTAGGCAGAGGAGTTAAATGTAAAAGGAACAGAGATTTAAGTATTAGGGGAACTTAAAGAAGGGGTGATTTCATACAGCTGGGAGTGGGCTTAGAATAGCTTTGCAGAGGCTTCAAAGGATGCGCAGGAGAGGAGAGGGAAGGGGCAGAGTGGAAAAAGGTGTCAGAGCGTGAAATCTGGTCATGGTTAAAGTGAGAGCAATGGGCATTAAGTGGGAAGAGTTTTAAAAGATGTACTCTAGGTGGACTGTCCTGAAATGAGTGATTCTTTAAGCTTGGGGTATATGAGAATCACCAGGGGTGCTGGTGAAAAATGCAGATTGCTGGGTCTCACCCACTGGAAAATTGGAATTCAGCAGGTCTGAGGGTGGGCAGCATGGTGTGGCAGTGGACAGGAAAGGGCTGAGCTAGGAAAGCAGCCACGCAGCTACTGCAGCTGTCCTGATGAGAGATGGTGCAGACCCAGCAGCTGTAGAGCTGTGACCGTGCAGACAGGAGGAGGGGCACTGTAAATCTATTCGAGTGGCACATTCAGCAGGGCTTGGCCTATAGGCGTCTCTTGAGAAGTTCAAGCATGAGTGGCACATGATAGTGAAGTCTCACCATGGGATGAACTCATGGTTTGCCTTTGTTTTGTGTTTGTATCATAACAAAATGCCACACTTCTTACACTATTGAGAATGGAAAAAGAGTCTATTCCCAAATTATGCTTTGCACTTTACAGTTTGAAGAACTGTCGTGTCTCACGACATTTCCAATTTTTGTTTTTCTTTAGATACTTGGACTTTATGTTGTGACATACTGATGTACTGAGGCATCACAAGGTTGCATAGAGAGCACTTTGTGATACTGAGTGAGAGAGACACATCACTTTCCTTCTCCTGGGGATTTACCAGCAGCTTAATGACTGACTGAACACGGGGTTGAAGAAAAGGGAGGCAACAAGGGTGTGATTGGTTCAGACCTTAGCAGACATCTGGAATAACAAAGGGGAGAGGGTTGGTGAAGGGTGGATACATGGGCTTGGTTCTGCTGTGTCGGAAGAGTTTATGAGCAATCCAGCTGGAACTGTAAGTTGGCAGTAAAGAATGGTGAGTTTCAGAGGACAGGGCAGATTTAAAGACACTGATTTGAAGTTCATCAGCACACGGGTAGTATGATGGCATAGAGGTAGAGGGCATCATCTATGGGAAATTTACAGATAAGAAAAGGAGACCCACCCCTGGAGCCAAATGAGTGAACACCAGCATCATGGAAGACATTAAGAAAAGATAGGCCCCAAGAAAGAAAGAAATCAAAAAAGAAAAAAAAAAAAAAAGGAGGGGATCAGAAACACAGGAAGAAAAGGGCTTCAGAAGCCAAGAGAAGGGGTTGTAAAGAGGAAGGAAGTGGTCAACAGCATCCAGAGCTGCTAAGAATCCAAGTGAAGGACTCCAGGATGGAAGTTTCCCAGGACAGGAGCCAAGTCTCCATCATCATCTCTGAGGGAATGTGCAGGCAGCAGGCCTCTAAGTTTAAAGTCTCTATGACTTCTCTCTTCCTTTGTTGTCTCTGTGTCCTCTCTCTGTACTCCTTCGTCCCTCTCTCCAGCCTTTCCAGTCTCCCAGGATGGGCTTTTTTTTTTTTTTTTTTTTTTTTTTTTTTTCGTTTTGAGACGGAGTTTCGCTCTTGTTACCCAGGCTGGAGTGCAATGGCGCGATCTCGGCTCACCGCAACCTCCGCCTCCTGGGTTCAGACAATTCTCCTGCCTCAGCCTCCGGAGTAGCTGGGATTACAGGCACGCGCCACCATGCTCAGCTAATTTTTTGCACCATTAGTAGAGACGGAGTTTCACCATGTTGACCAGGATGGTCTCGATCTCTTGACCTCGTGATCCACCCGCCTCGGCCTCCCAAAGTGCTGGGATTACAAGGATGGGCTTTTAGCTCTTTTCTCGGAGGTAGGAAACTGTCTTTGCATCTTCTCTAAGCCGTATGGTAAAAATTATATGTTCAGTTCTCCATGTTTTGGCTCCTTGAAACCTACAATTTTTTAATTCTTACTTTAAAGCCTGACTCTTCAAAATGAAAGTCTGTCTTTCCGGACTTTGGTTTCTGCTTTGCTCTTACAAGTCAAAGCCATATCCAGCCTTTGCTTTAAAACAATGACTGCTTCAGCTTCAATGGCTTGGGAGCCACAGTGCACAGAGAATTCCTAGGGATGAAAAATGTATCTGGTAAGATTCGAAAAATAGTATCCTACTCGGTATGTAGATATCACTGTTGAAGTTCCATTTATGGTCTCAAAGCCATTTTATTTCCATCTACTATTTGTAGGCTGTTAAATATTCAAATGGTTGCCTATTTCCAAGTTTGTGCAGTACATGTCACTTTCTTCTTCTGAATCCAGCTCGAAAGGAGGGGGAAGAATATGGGAAAGGAGTGTCAACTCCTTTTCTCAGAAGCTTTACTATAGAAGGGAGGAGAATGAGAGACTGTAGAATGAAGGACAGACAGGGAAATGGAGGCTAATTTTTAGGACGAAAAGTCTTGACTCTGTTTTGAAGGCATAGAACGACAAGAGATGAAAAATACAGGAGAGGGATGAGAATCACCAAAGCCAGGTCTCCAAGAGTTCAAAAGTTAAGAGATCCAGAGAGAAACATTTGTCCTAAAGACAACAAAGTTTACAGGAGGAAAAGATGGTGAGGAGGATGTTTCCCACTCAGTGGTTTCCCACTCAAGGAGTTCCCACTCAGTGGGCTCTGAGCATCTGTTGGAATGGGGGCAGGGCATTAGCTTGGGGAAGCTGGCTGTGGGCATGTAGAATGATGCTGGGAGATGCTGAAGATGCATCAAGTTTGCAGAGCATTTATCTGTGATTTTCTTCAGCCTGGTGACAGCTAAAAAGGTAGCAGATGACTGCCTGGATCCAGAGGCTTGGGTTAGGAGTGTTCTGGGAAGCCACATAGCTAAGACTTTGGGGAGCTGGCCAGAGAAAGAAAAGCCCAGAGTTGGGAGTCAGGAGTCCTAGAATTATACTCATGCCACTAACTCATGGCAAGTCAATTTCCTTCTCCAGGCCTCAGTTTCTTTAGCTGAATGATGAAAGCGATAGACTAGATCAGGCATCCCCAAACTTTTTACACAGGGGGCCAGTTCACTGTCCCTCAGACCATCGGAGGGCCGCCACATACTGTGCTCCTCTCACTGACCACCAATGAAAGAGGTGCCCCTTCCTGAAGTGCGGCGGGGGGCCAGATAAATGGCCTCAGGGGGTCGCTTGCGGCCTGCGGGCCGCAGTTTGGGGACACCTGGACTAGATGGTCTGCAAGGGCTATTCACTTGTAAGTATAAGTGTGGGAGCATTTCTGTGGATCGAAGCTAGCGGAAAATGGGATGGAACAGGCAGACCCTGTGGTGGGGATCTTCAACCCACAAGGCCCTGAGGAAGGGCTTCTCTGAGGAGACGAGATTCCTGTGGCCAGGGCATAATGAATGATTAGTTATTAGTTGGAACTCTTTCATTTGTAAATGACATAAACCCAACATAAGCAACTTAAGGTGAAGAAAAGAGGTCATTTATAGGCACACATCACTGAGATGCCCTCACTCTCTCTTCACCCTTCAACTTTCAGCTCCGCTTGTCTCCACCATTCTCAGCAGACTCTTAATGATTGCTGGCAGATCTGGGCTTATGGTTAATAACTTGGCAGCTCCAGCAGGGATTGACTTCCTCTTCTCTAATATGTTTAGAAAAATTCTCAAGTCAGGCTTTCATTGGCCCAACCAAGGTCACATAACCAATCTCTGGGCAAGTGCTGTGACCAGGAAGTGCATGGCTTTGATCAGTCACATGCCTATCCCTGAAACCAGAGATGAGGTCAATCCAACTCCAGCCGCATAGACTAAGAATGGGGAAAGTGTAGATTCCAAAGAAAGATTGGGATGCTATTATCAGGAAGGTCAATTTTGTTGGTGGAGCAAAATAATAGATGTTCCTAACAGGATGATAAGCTGGGAGTTCTCGCAGTGGGAAAGAAGGAGCCTAGAGTCTGACCTGTCCTCCCTCCCTTGGATGCAGTGTGTGGGCTCCCCAAGGTCTCCAGGAAGCTGCTGGCCAGGATCTTCAATGGACGCCCAGCCCAGAAGGGCACCACTCCTTGGATTGCCATGCTGTCACACCTGAATGGGCAGCCCTTCTGTGGGGGCTCCCTTCTAGGTAAGGAGAAGGTGGAAGGGGTAGAGCTAAGGAACCGAACCCCCTCCTTGGAGACTCGCCAAGTTTCCTTCATTGAGAATCACTGCACACCAGCGTCAGGGCACAGAAGCGCATTGTGGTAGAAAGAGTTCTTGACTAGACTGGATCCTGGTCTGCCTCTGGCACTGGGAAGAATAGTGCCAGGGAGCCTCTCAACCATGAGTAACAGTGCACAGGGGTCAAAGGCAAGGCATCCCAGGGCTGTGAGGTCAGGGAGAGCCAGGAAACTCACCCTTGGGGATCAGGGAAGGTCGATTTACAAAGGTCTTCAATGCCGTGCTTAGAAATTTCTAACTTATCTTGAACAGGGCTCTAGGTTGATAAGTATGTTCCAGAAAGTTCTCTCCAGAGGCAGAATTGATAAAATGGAGGGCGAAACTGGAGGCCAGAAGATCAGTGAGGTGTCCATTGCATTAGTGGGAAAAGAAGGCAGAGCCTCAGAATAAGAACAGGGCATGAGGGATGGAAAT